TATTACCACTATTGTTATTATTATTATTATTATTACTAAAATTACAAACCTTGACTTATTCGAATAATTGAGACAGAGTAAGAAATAATAAAAATCAATTATTTGTTAAAGTACAACAGCTATTAGAATGAAAAAATGTACATTTATCCTATAAGCAAGTGTTACAAGAAAAAAGTGAATGGAAACTAGGTTTTATTCACTGAATAGTTAGTATATTGTGACGGTAATTACATTCTACTGGATCATCGAGCCATATAGCTTGAAAAAAAGCAGTACAAATGTGCTCTTTAGAATTCAATTGACCCGAGAAAAAAATGAAATAAATCACACAGGTAACAGTTTTTCTAAGGATTGATCAATGTGCTTGATCTAGTTGTATAGACTATAGTCTTGGTATGCATACACCAATGATAAAAATTGCTAAATTTGGCGATGGAAGAACAAAATTAACATTTTTGATGTAGATAAGCACTGAGGATGAAGGAGGATTAATTAGCATAAAATCATAGTCTAGGATCTTCTGCCAATCACTAGTGACCATAAAATGATTTGCTTATTTAGATATGAACAGAATTTGGAAAATAACCTATAAGCCAAAAAAACATGATCATAAAACAATAGTAACTGATCAATTCAAAAATGACAAATATTATCACTGTGTTCCATGTCAATTGTTGTTTTCGCTTTACTTAGGATCATAGTAATCCACTTCCTTTTCATTATGTGGAACAATCGATAATTTAATAATTTTATACAAATAAATTCAGTAAAATGTGAATGGAAGTCACATTATCGTGGTAATAAAGAATAGAGGGTGGAAAAATGATCACATGACTGTTAAACAATAAATGAATAATTGAACCCGGAATAAAATCACTAATTTGAGAGAAATTCTGTTTCTTTTTCACTTTTAAGCTAATACATATATAATTCCGTTTATTAAATGAAAATAATTCTATCAAACGTGAAAACAAGATGTTGACTCTAATCACCTATTGCACAATACATGTCATTGTCTATCATTCATGTTACTTGTTGCATTCTATAACGTGGAACGTTTACTGTGTAAACAGTCATGACACTCTATACTTGTTTAATGCAATAGGGAAAATGAATACTATTTTACCCCCCCCCCAAAAAAAAATTTTCGTATGGTCGATCTTCCAACTCATATCGAGTATTAATGAGAACTTCTTTCAAGATTTACAAGAACTCAAACAGCTTAGCATAATTCTGTGTTACAGAATTATACCTATCATATGATCCAAACATAGTGTGGCAATTAAACATGTTTAAGTAACAGTAAAGAAATCAGTACTTTTTCCAGCAACTATACATTTTTCTAGTGATATTGACCAAGTAATTCATCCAAATGTATGAAATGAATAAACGGAAGAGGAAAATAAAGAATCAGGAAATTCCATTCAGTCAAAATCTTTTGGACTATGTGTCACAAATGCTGTCTTCCATGACATGTATCTATATAATTATGTAATGCTACCGTCCTATAAAACTAGAAAGTACAGGATGTAAAGTGGTCATACTGTCGTATGTTTATATATATATATATATATATATATATATATATATACAAACATTGGATAACGAAGATAGATCGATAGTAAGCTAAAGGCTAAGAAAATAATAAAATCCACACATTTTTAACATCACATTAATTGTATATATCATCATATGACAGTACATTTGTCACGAATCATATGATTTCCTTTCAAGAAAAAATAATTGAATAGTACCGAGTGAAGTAAAGTTTTGCGAAATTGATTAGATCAGGGAAACAAAAAATTGATTATAAAAGGAATGATAATTCGTCTCAAAAAAGAAAAATTCGATCATTAAATCTGTAAACTTTTAATTAAAAAATAAGAAACAAAGTGAGTATGTGAACAAACGATTGATCTAATTAAGAATTTATTTGATGTTTAACAATCTAAACAATTCAGTAATTGGTTATTCGAAAGCAAAAAAATATTAAAACTTCCGATGTTCTCTATAGTACTGTGAATGAAAAACTTAAGCGAAACTAAGATGTTTCAGTATACATTATTACTCGTATATATAGTTCACTAGTTAGTTCTAAAAATACATGGAAAGCTTAATGTGGATATCACCAACTTTATGATGTCAAGTTATTAGGATCACTTCGCACTTCACAAACATAATCACAAATTCAATATAACTCTCAATTCTAACATTTTGAAAACTCTTAACATAATGGATTTCTTGTAACATCACAAACAATTTATAGATCGAAAAAAGCCGACATATACCATTAATGTTTCCATGATTATAACTATTTTCAACGCTTATTACAATGACACTAAAAACAAGCATCTACTCCAATAACATTATGATGGAAACAATAAACTGTTATACTCTACGCTTTAACACTTATCCTTGGATATTTTTATATCATCAAACTAGACAAACTCAAAGAGACGTTTGACTAGGAAATCGGCAAAACAAAAACTAATAACAAAGTCTAGTCACTTTTTTTAACTATCGACATGATATCATAGTTTGTCGGTGAACACACACGCACACATACTGAAAATAAAGTACCACTAAAAGAAACAATATACGTACATATACATGTAGTAACGTATATCATGTACATATTGTACGAAGATCGATTTGAATACAGTCAAATAAAAAAAATTTAAACTATTTTACCATTCAGTAATCATGTGGTGTGAGAATTAAAAGTAACTGATAATTTGGTTTGTTAATTAATTCTAAACTAAGTAAATAATCGAAAGGACGTTATCAAGAGTGAACCAACTAACAATCAAATCTCACAATATACCTTACACTTATTAATAGTTTTATTAAAATTGTATTATTCAACAGTTATGAGGATTTTAGAATTCATCAACAAGAAATATTGTCAGTTTTCAGATAGTAAATATCTTTTTACATACTTTAAATCAAATTATTTAACATCGCAGACAAATACAATACTAAAGAGTTTAATATGGTTCTTATTTAGAATTAGATCACTTCCTTATGATCACATACATGAAACTTTTCTGTAAAAAGAACATAATTATAATATAACCTAGCTAGTATCAATTTATTATTTATCCGAAACCCTATACTTGGTTATCAGTTACAATTTGTGTGAGAAACAAAATATAGTACCCATTTGTTTAAACAGATGTAGGGAGGACATCAGAGTCTAAGTTCACACGAGTTCATATGATGAATTACTCTGTCAAATCATGAGTAAACCTAACAATTATTTTGCAGTTTTATGAGGTAAAATGAATTTCGGATACGCAACTGAAAAGTTCCTAAACTGTTGAATTAAAATTCCATCAGTGAAGAAATATTGATGAACTCTCTTATTTTAAGTGGTGAAACAATCTACATGTTATCAGTAAATCACAAAGTTTAAGATGACATTTCTCACAGGCAAAAATTTGTTTTGTATCGCATAGTGACTGTAATTACTAGGGTAGTCATACGCTAGCTGCACTAACTAATGAAAAATTTTAACCGACCTCTCGTATTTTTTAGGATTTCATCTAAAAATTCCCACAATTTGTGTATTGAACTCTAGCTTTGCATTGTTCATTGCATAACACAAAGACTAATCAGTACCAATTTATAATAGTCAACTCTAAAATACTGAAATGAATGTTTGGACCACCACGAAAACTAATGATATATAATTTTATTCTACATAAAATAGGTGAAACAATATTATGCAATGTTTTTGACGTGATGGAACAAAATATGTAATTAAAAACCTGAAATCTAGTTTTAGCTGCTAGGTTGCATGAAATTAAAAGCTCACCTGTTTCAGTGTAATTGTGAATAGTTATTGCAAATAGTGCAAATAAATAATCTACTACATACTATTCGGATATGTACTACGGCGTAAAGCTACAGTATAGTTCTCAAAACTGTTTAATTATTGGTCATGTTATCTGTTACAATATTTATGCAGTACAAAATACAGAACAATTAATGGCAATCAGGTCATCATATGTTGTAAATAACGAACTACTAAGTGACACCACTAACTTGCTATGGAGACTATGAGATGGTAAATCGACAAACAATCAAACTTAACGTCATTTTATTCACATTAAATGAAACTGCTCGTTTGCTTGTACACTGATAAGTTGAAGAAATTGTAAGAAAGAGAGACTGATACAAGTTTTATATCCGATTGAAATTCACACGCTAAACTGTAATATGATAAGGATTTCACGTTATGAATCTTATCATGTCCCAATACCAACAGATCTCATGGAAATTTGTAAGTAGAAGTTCAGTGGTCTGTTTAAAAAAGATAAACAAGATTCGAATACTATTCAAGTGCCTTTTTAATTCGATTATACAGACTATCAAGAGGTCACGTGAGATAATTAGTGTTGATAAGAAAAGCTGCGATTTGACACTTTTCATTCAGACTGAAATCTGAGTTTTGGACTATGGGCGAATAGCACGGTTTAAAATAGCACTTAGTGTATAAGATACTGACACATTAAACACTTATCATAATACATGCTTACCAAAGTTTTAAAAAGATATAAGGATAAGACATTACCTAACAGAAAACCTTATATGAACAATAAAAATGAGTGTACAGATATTCTGTCGTTCATATTTCTGCAAAAATCCCCGATAATACATAACATTCTAATATATTTGAGTCATCCTAGTACTCAGTAACCATACGATTTAGTGCACTTCTCTTTTGCATTGTATATTTATCTCATATAAGACCGCTTGTGGGAATTCATCGAAAATATGAAATATTTAAACATAATAAACAATCGAATATCTGCATTAGCTTTGCCCTTAAGACAACTTGCCATAATATATGCACTGCCTCATAAGAAAACACAGACCGATGGGTGAAAAATGATCAGGAAAGTCATATCAGGTTAGTAACAGCTAAGGCACAAGAGATTTTTATATTTATCAAGATAAAAACAAAACGAAAATCAAGAAAAGAATGTTGAACATACCAACACTTGAAATATCTTCTTCATTGATCACCTCACCATTAATATCGACTAATTGCCAGGCTTTCATCATGGTTAGAAGTGACAAATAATTGTTTCTGCAAAATGGGATCAATTTATTTTACCTAAAAGCATGATAAATTTAATTATTCGTATTTGTCAAATATAGAAACCAAAATCCAATTAAATATGCTTGAAAAGTGTGCATCTATAACGTAATCATAGAAAAACGGAAACAAATAGTGTTTGTGCAATAATCCAAGTTACATCAGGGCATCGACAGAAAATCAACAAAACAAAAAGTAGAAGAGTTCAATAATACCAACCGTTTAATGGTATATGCACCAGAAATATCGTTCAAAACCAAAAGTTGAGACCAAAGGATGAAACGTACGTAACGATCCAAAAGTTAAGATGAAGAGGGAGATAAATAATATGTCTATCTGTATTATTACTTCTACTGGTATCCAAATTGATTTTGGACCATATAACGTAGCAGTTCTAACTATATATTACAACTATTACAGAACTTCCAACGACGAAGCCTGCGTTAACAACACGACTCAGTCTATTAGTCAATGATTATGTAGATTGGTCGCACGTATAGATCTGGTCAACCTACTTCTATGTAGGAGAGCATTCCAAGACAAAGTGGGTGTTAAACAACCGTGCAGCTTGCATGTTACAGCTTTGGTTTGTAGTTGGTTATAGCTTCGTAGGTTAACGACAGGTTGGCTATTAATTTTTGAACGCACATTTACAAGACACTTCCAAATAGTGGAAGTATCGAGTGACCAACCTAGGATAGAGGACTATCTTTGCGGCAGAAGACAACGTATGAGTAAATTAGATGTAACTGAAACGAATGCATATTCAACAAAATAATGGAATTCAAGATTGAGAAAACGATAAAGATTAAATACAGCTGCTCTATTGTGAACGATTTAGAGAAATACTTTCCCAAGTTTCTATCAGAGATTTAATCTGACTTGAATTAATTGTTTAGGTTGTTGATGATTCGATGCTCAAAAACTAATTATAGGCCGGTTTTACAGACCAACACCTGTTACCAATGCATCATACGTGGGACAAAACTGCCATGTGGTTTAGGAAGAAACGAGTGAAGATTAATCGCAAGGCATGATGTGAGAAAGAAAGAATAATACAATTTAGCGGATAACTGGGTGATTTGATGTAATCACTTCGCACAGCCTTCAAATATTTGGGCATAGACATAGTAGTGGTTATACACTCTACAAACGTGAAAATTTATTGATAAGTTTTCAACCACGCATCTATTTCATATTTCATTCAAGTTGCATAGTTCATAGCTTAAGTATAACGTCCGTAGTAGGACATCTCAGCGTCTTTTACAAGAAAGTATTTGAACTCCAAGATGGTTTTTGTAGTGTCTCAGAATACAAAGTGATTCTGTACAATAATTAGAATTCTATGGTCTACAAACTTCGCCTTTCTCTAGGACTACTCGACTGTGAAGCAGTCGTACTGGGTCTGGAAACCATTATTGTAGTAAATTAGGCTGTGCCCCGTTTGTCTTTCTGAGTGGTCAACAACGGGAAATTCCTAACAAAAAGACGTAACATCTATGACTAATGAATCATTTAGGAAGAAGATTAGATGAACATGGAGATACGAGCAGTGAGGTTCAAGACAAGCTAATAAATCTATCATCCACGTAGGAAAAGACCGAATGTGCTCTGAAGTAAACTTTTGAAAGAAACAAATATTATTCACAGCGTTGTGACAAGTATTTTGTAGAATAGTTTGCAGATTTGATTCCTTATTTATTAGAAATCCATTGATATCTTCACCAAAGAACGGCTGGCACACTCCTCACTGAGATGTGCCTTACTGCCAAATAACGGCTATGATGTTATATTCAGATAAAAATATTGTAGTTGGAACAAAGTTTTCTTTACAGGCGGAGTCAAGTTGGAAACAACTTTAGGGAAGATGTCAAGCACCAAGACATAAAACAACATGATAAAAGTTATCACCTGATTCATAAAAAACATTTCTCCGGATCAAAATAATGAGAGGGATTAAAGATGACAGGAATGCATACTTGCTATCACCAAATTTACATAATCTTATCTTACGAAACTAGGAAAAGAGAGGAACCAATGACAGCAGAAGTAATCTTATTCCTCAGCTTTTGTGCAACAATAAGTAAAAACTAGAAAATGCAGGAATGAACTCACAAAGAAGGGATGTAAAAGGAGACCTTTGTGACCTTGAATCAGCTGTACCAAACTCAAATACGATTGGTCAATATTTTGAAATTATGGCTGTGGTAAATTTCAGATGATACATAAAAACAAACGACAGCATAACAAAGAAATAATCATTATTGTCAATATCAAAGTAGTCGTGAGTATTTTTTTATAACTTTCGCTCGGTTTCATATCCTTTGGCCAAATTGAGGATTTAGTATTATTCGCAAATATTAAGTCAGCAACATGATGTAGAAGCAGTATCTGTCATGCATAGACTGAATATTTACGAACGAAGAATTCCTAATTGACAAATTTTTAGTCTTGGCTGTCACAGTAAAAATGATCACTCTCAATATTATCAATATAGCTGACTTAAAACATCCCATTAACAACTGGCGTCGGAATTCCAAACGTTTGGAAATGTCAGATGTACGGGACAACTTAAAGCAGGTAGGTTAAAAATTTCACCATCAACTTGATGTGTACGCTCACTGTGTAAATGTACACCATATATTGAACTGAAAGTCACAGAACAAATCTACCTATGACTCTCATAAAATATTCATAGGTACAATCATCCAATTCTGTGTCGTCCGACACCAAATTAACTTTAAGATAGATTGTTTTGTGAAATCGATATAAATCGACCACACACTTTTGTTCTTAAGACACATCGTCGTTACTAAGAGTTGCAGTTAAGATATTTGAGTCATATTTTAACGTGGTTTTTTAGCACTGTAACTGGGTAGATTACTTGAAAATCTGTCCCATATGTCTCATTTGAAAGTGCGATTGTTTCCTGAACTTTTACCGTGGTAGAACCTGGTAAGTGAACATAGTCCGCTTACCAGTATTCTCCATCTCACTCTGTCCTGAACAATCCTTCCCAGGTGTCTCCAGTTACTATCCATAATTTTTTATATCTACCTACGATTCTCGACACAGTGTGTTTTTCAGCATTCCACTTCTCCGTTTCCCTTCAGGATTCCAAGATAGCACTTGCCATGTGATGCAGTTTGGTGATTTCCACAATGTATGTTGCTTAACTGTAGGAATGACCCTATTCATTTACCAATCCTCACCTTTACGTCTACATCAGACTCTTCTTGTTCATCAACGATGCTGCTGAACAGGTACGTGAAACTTTCCATCACTTTCAGAGTTCCTCCATCAAACGTGATTGGCTTAGTGTTCTCTGTGTCGCATTTGAGGATCATACTTTTTCGCTGGTGTATGTTGAAGTCTACTGCTTCAGAGACTGCTGCTACATTGTTTGTCTTCAGCTGCAATTTTTTGTGCGTCTGGGAAAAAGTGGTAGGCTGTCTGAGAAGACCAGATCGTTTAGTTACATCTAACCTGCCAACCGTAGTCTGTGCTTCCCCTCAGGTGTCAGTCTTCATGATCCAGTCAACCACTAGTAGAGTGACAGTAAGCAGCTTTGTCTGACTCCGCTCCTCACTTTGAATGAGTCTGTCAGCTGTTCTCTATGCACGACTCTGCAGCGTGGTCCGTAGCATGAATTCTGTGTGGTGTTGACGATCTTATCAGCTACTCACATCACAACGTCTAAGAAGGTTCCGTAAGGTTCTCCTGTCCACGCTGTCAAATGCCTCCTCATAGTCGAGGTAGTTGAAGTATAGTGACGAATTCCATTCCAATGATTATTCAACGATGATACATGGTGTCACTATTTGGTCTGTGCACGACCGATTCTTACGGAATCCGGTCTATTCATGTCGAAGCTAGGTGTCTACTGAATCTTTCATCCAACCCAGTGACACTCTGTTGAAAACGTTTCCTTCTACCGATGATAGTGTGATGCTTTTGTAGTTTTCACATTTGGTCACATTTCCTTTCTTTCGCATCTTGATGAAGTATCTTTCTTTCCAGTCTGTCGGTAGCACTTGTCCTTCCTAACAAGTCTTCCTGAATGGAACGTGCGACACGTTCACAGTTGCTTCCATGTGTGACATCCGTGCTTCGACTTGCATATTGTCAGGTCCCGCTGCTCCTTCATTCTTGATTTGTCTGATGGCCATCCTGATTTCCTCGATCGTTGGTGGAGTGACATCTATAGGAACATCCGTAGGTGCTGCTTTGATGTCCGACGGTTTCAATGAAGCTGGCCTATTCAACAGTTCCTCGAAATATTCCACCCATATGTTCCTCTGTTCTTGAATCTCCGTGATTGTCTTCCCTTCTTTGTCCTTGTCCGGTCTCTCTGGTTTAATATATCTCGCTGCTAGTTTCTTCGTTGTATCGTATAATTGTTCCATATTTCATTCTCTTGCGGCTTTTTCCGATGTCGTCGCTGATTCTTCTACGTATTTCTACTTGTCAGCTCCAATACCCTTCTTCAATTGTTTGTTTGCTTCTGTGTATTCAGTTTGTGCACTGTCTCTCTCTGTTCTTGTTCTTCTTCCTTTCTTGAATCTTGTCTAGTGTTTCCATAGAGATCCCTGCTTCATGATTATGCTACTTGCGGCCCGTAACCTCGACACGTTGAAGTTAGTGCTTCTTTGATCCGTTTTCGGTTGCCCTCCATAGTATTTTCCGTCTTTTTCAGTAGCTCTTGTTAGGCTTGGAACCTGTTGTTGATAACTATCATGAATTGGTTGAGTTTGTCAGTATGTCGAAGCAAGTCGGCTCAACACAACAGTACGGACTGCACACATGCCTTCTACTCCTTAAGATTTTTCAAATGCTATAATTCGCTGCGGGCCGAGCTAGTCTACGAGACTTCGAGGGAGTCCTTTGAGAGACAACCCGACATACTCTTAAGGACTAAGGACAGTATCTTACTAAATTTACCGCTTTTTCTTTTCCATCTTTTTTGAAATAATACTTCTACCTTGCTGTCTGTAGGTATCGGTGATTCACTGCTACTAGATGCGAAAGCTCGTTAAGCGAAAACTTCTACTATTCCGTCCAAAGCCATATGCACTTTGACAGTCACACGTCTCACTCGGGGAAAGGAATCTAAGCATCAAAATCACCCGAGGCTACTTCGTGTAACACTTAAGAATGCTACCGACGTAGAGGATGTCTTACTAGCGAGTCATTTACTGAAATCAGATGGGAATGTAAGAATACTGCCTGACATACCGTATTCTGGGCCCAATCTCATCCGGAACATCCCCAAAGAAACTCGCGATCAGTTTTTCCGCGGGAGGAATATAATCGTGCAAGGTATACCGGAAAATACGGACCCTACTCAATCAAAGACCGACATCAGGGAATGGAAATTCATCAAACAGCCCTTGAGGCTCAAAAACATTATGACTCAGCATGTGACGAGACTAGCCAAGAAGGATGGTGATTTTAGACCCCGTCTAATGAAGATAACCTTCCCATCTTCCCATATGGCGGCTGCAACTCTGGAAGCATTTCGTACCAACAGACGTCGACTGCCACCTGGAATCCACATGCACCCGGATAGGCCATGCGAAGCTAGGACCAAACACAAAGGCAAGTTGGAGCTAACCATTCCACTTGTGGACTGTCTAGACGATAAAAAAACGTGTAAAGGACAGGGCCTACCAACTCGGCAAACCTCATATAGGTGGGCTACCTGTCCATTCACGTAAGGCTCATACAGACAAACAGGAAGAAGCTCACGCGTGGGGTCCCCCAGGGCTCAGTACTAGGACCTCTTCTCTTCTTGATCTACATAAAAGATCTTCCTCAACAGGTTACGTCAGACTTATTACATTTTGCCGACGACGTGAAACTTTGGAGAGAGATACGCAACCAAGACGATATACAGGCACTTCAGGAGGATCTGACTCGAATTCAAAGTTGGGCAGACGATGACGGACTTTGACACTTCGAAGTGTGAAGTAGTCCATCTGCGACATGTCGCAGACGACAGTTATAACTTAGGTAACTCCTCTCTAGTAGTATCCCAAGTCGAAAAAGATCTAGGAGTCCTGGTGTCCCATGATTTAAAGTCTTATGATGACTGTGACAAAAATGCCTTTCGAGCAAACCTTATACTGGTAACATTGAAGCGCATTTTTGGCCAGTTTGACGGAAGAACTTTCCATATAATCTTCAATAGTTTTATCCGTCCCCATTTAGAGTACGGAAACATAGTATTCCCCCCGTCACTCCGAAAGGATTGATGGTGTCACAGGTATTCAGTGTTTGACAACGCTTCTACCAGTAACACCTTCTAATGTATTTCGTTCCCGCCCAGAGAAATCAAAAGACAGAGTCGAGGAGATCGGAAGAGTATATTTGGCGATGACCAATATATCGGAATTCTCTGATCTAATCTGGCTAGCGATTGCGGTTGATGTTGAGCACGGCGTTACCACACGTGATCTGGTGCGGATGCCTGACCGAGCGCCTTCAGCTAGATGAGTCCACTAAAACATATGGTCAGCATCCAATGTCGAAAACTTAGGGCTATTTATTTTGGGGATTTATTTACCGCTACAGATCACTCCCCCCCCCTAGTGCGGTAGTGACGACCCTAAGACGTGGCCAGCCAGAAGTTTAAACCCAACGAGTTTGTCGTTGGTAAACACTCTTCTGATAGCTTACTAAGTGTAGCAGCGTCTGGTCGTCTTTCCTTACTATATGGGACCGAGGTACAACATAGTAAAAAAAAGAAAAAGTTACAACGAAAAATTTCGATTCCTCGTAAACTGCATCGTTCTTTTCCAGCCGTCCTGGAAAAGAAAAAAGAAAGTGTAAGTACATGTCGAAATACACTCGTATGTGCGTAAAAACTCAATGTCGGCGAAAAAATGGAAAATATACTCAAGCACACATAATAGCGTTAAAAAATGTTTTTTTTGTTTTGTTTTTTTTAGTAAAAATAATATAAATATATAAACATATTAAAATTCTTTTTTTTTAAAAAAATTATATATAGTAAAAAGAAAGATGGAGATAATATAAAATGTCGATTAGTGCTTTACGTGCAGTAGTCGTTTAAATGTTCTGGAAATCTTACTCTTCTTCCAGAACGCGTCGTTTTAGCTTTATTTTCAGATACATGCGGAGTATCATCGCTAGTATTGGTTGTCGGTTGAGGAATTACGAGTGGAGTCGTG